TATCTTCCATTGGTTCATCCCTTGCTAATGATATTCCATCCTCCCATACTAATATTAAAACTACCTTACAGGTAACTATCCAGAGACTCTGTACCTAACTACTGCTAACTCCACTGATGAGATAATCCTTTCCCTTAAAACCAAGTCTAGTGCCCTTGAGGAGATACCAACTTTAATTTACAATAAAAGCCTCCAGATCTTTAGCTTCTGCTGTTGCATTGCTCTTCAACAAGTCACTTGGACTCCAAACCTTTCCGAATGTTCTAAAAAAAAAAGCGGAGTAGCCCCTGTCCACAAATGTGATCTCACTGGTCAACAACTTCACACCTATATAAATTCTGTCAAATTTGTCAAAAATATTTGAAAAACTAATCTACAAGCAGCTTTACTCTTATCTAGCCACACACAATATACTTAGCTCTTGTCAATATGGCTTCAGACCCCAAAAAGCACTAACGATACACTTATTAGTATGATTAACTTGATACATGCAGCTCTTGATAAAAATGAGTTCCCTGTTGGGTTATTTGTGGACCTGCGTAAGGCTTTTGACACTGTCAACCACCAAAACCTTCTTCTTAAATTACATCATTATGGAGTCAGAGGACACTCCCTGCAATACCTCAAATCCTACCTTACTGACAGGCTTCAGTATGTTTCTGTGAATAATACAATTTCTCCCACCCTACCCATCAACATTGGTGTTCCTCAGGGCAGCATACTTGGCCCTCTCCTCTTTCTCATCTACATTAATGACCTTCCAAATGCCTCCCAACACCTCAAACCAATTCTATTTGCTGACGACACAACCTTCATTTACTCCAGTCCTGATCCCCTTGCTCTAAATGCCACAGTGAATACTGAGCTAAATAAAGTCCATCTGTGGCTAACTGCCAACAAACTCACCCTTAACATTGACAAAACTTTCTATATTCTGTTTGGCAATAAATCCTCTAATCAAATAAATCTCAGGATAAACAATACCCAAATTTGCAACAAAGTAGATGGCAAATTCCTTGGCATTCTCATTGACCACAAGCTGAATTTCCAGGGACACATTCTAAATATATCAAAAAAAGTTTCTAAAACTGTTGGCATTCTTTCTAAGATCAGATATTATGTACCCCGCCCTGCCCTGGTGACTCTCTATTACTCCCTTATCTATCCATATCTCAACTATGGTATTTGTGCTTGGGGCTCTACTACCCAAAATCATTTACGTCCTCTAATTACTCAACACAAAGCTGCTATTAGGACAATATCCAACTATAAATATAAATATAAATAAATATAAATATGTTTATTCAGGTAAGGTACATACATACAAGTGATGTTACATTAATGGATCAATATATAGATAGAGCTAGTACATACAATGCCTAAAGCCACTATTACGCAATGCATTTCGGGCAGGAAGAACATTAATATCTAGAACTTAATACTAATTGAGCATAAAGAATAAAATGTGTTGAGAACAAATACAAATAAAGATAAAAAAAAATGGGGGAACATGACTGAAAAGCAGCACAAATACAATAGGTTGACAAACAGTGTTCATTAAAAAAAATAACAGACATGGGTTGACAATAGAGGGGTAAGGTAGGTTAAATTTATTAGGGAATTTATTAGGTAGTGTTTAGTTTTTATCTTAAACTGGTTGAGAGAGGTACACAGTCTTTAACATGGTTGGGAAGGTCATTCCACATTCTGGGTCCCTTGATTTGAAGAGCATTTCTAGTTTGATTAAGTCGTACTCTAGGAATATCAAAACTGTATTTATTTCTGGTGTGGTGCTCATGGGTTCTGTTACAACCTTCAATGAAGCTTTTGAGGTCAGGATTGGCATTATAGTTTAGTGTTTTATATATGTATAATACACATGAGAGAATGTGCAGTGACTTAATGTCTAACATATTCAGAGATTTGAGTAGGGGTACCGAGTGATGTCTGGGGCCAGAGTTGGATATTGTCCTAATAGCAGCTTTGTGTTGAGTAATTAGAGGACGTAAATGATTTTGGGTAGTAGAACCCCAAGCACAAATACCATAGTTGAGATATGGATAGATAAGGGAGTAATAGAGAGTCACCAGGGCAGGGCGGGGTACATAATATCTGATCTTAGAAAGAATGCCCACAGTTTTTGAAACTTTTTTTGATATATTTAGAATGTGTCCCTGGAAATTCAGCTTGTGGTCAATGAGAATGCCAAGGAATTTGCCATCTAATTTGTTACAAATTTGGGTATTGTTTATTTTGAGATTTATTTGACTAGAGGATTTATTGCCAAACAGAATATAGAAAGTTTTGTCAATGTTAAGGGTTGAGTTTGTTGGCAGTTAGCCAAAGATGGACTTTATTTAGGTTAGTATTTACTGTGGCATTTAGAGCAAGGGGGTCAGGACTGGAGTAAATGAAGGTTGTGTCGTCAGCAAATAGAATTGGTTTGAGGTGTTGGGAGGCATTTGGAAGGTCATTAATGTAGATGAGAAAGAGGAGAGGGCCAAGTATGCTGCCCTGAGGAACACCAATGTTGATGGGTAGGGTGGGAGAAATTGTATTATTCACAGAAACATACTGGAGCCTGTCAGTAAGGTAGGATTTGAGGTATTGTAGGGAGTGACCTCTGACTCCATAATGATGTAATTTAAGAAGAAGGTTTTGGTGGTTGACAGTGTCAAAAGCCTTACGCAGGTCCACAAATAACCCAACAGGGAACTCATTTTTATCAAGAGCTGTATGAATCGAGTTAATCATACTAATAAGTGCATCGTTAGTGCTTTTTTTGGGTCTGAAGCCATATTGGCAAGGGCTAAGTATATTATGTGTGGCTAGATATGAGTAAAGCTGCTTATAGATTAGTTTTTCAAAAATTTTTGACAAGTTTGGCAGGATTGATATAGGTCTGTAGTTGTTAACATCTGTGAGATCACATTTGTGGACAGGCGTTACTCTCGCTTTTTTTAGAATATCTGGGAAGGTTTGGAGTTCAAGTGACTTGTTGAAGAGCAATGCAATAGCAGGGGCTAAAGATCTGGAGGCTTTTTTGTAAATTAAAGTTGGTATCTCCTCAAGGGCACCAGACTTGGTTTTAAGGGAAAGGATTATCTCATTGACGTCAGTGGAATTAATAGGCTTTAGGTACAGAGACTGTGGATAGTTACCTGTAAGATAGTCCTTAACATCAGTACTGGAAGATGGAATATCATTTGCAAGGGATGAACCAATGGAAGAGAAGAACCTATTGAACTCAATAGCAGAATCAGAGGCTGAAAGCTGACCATCGTTATTAGACAGGAGAGTCGGTTTGTTATTTAAAGACTTCTTTGATCCCAATATTTGTGAAATTGTTCTCCAAGTTTGTTTAATGTTGCTCTTTATTTGGGTAAATTTATCTTCGTAGTATTTAGTTTTGGCTCGTCTAATTATCTTAGATAATAATAATAATAATAATAATAATTTTTATTTAGGTAAGGTACATACATAAAGAGATTTTACAAAGTTTGTTGGCTTTATAGATAGAGCTAGTACATACAATGCCTAAAGCCACTATTACGCAAAGCGTTTCGGGCAGGAAAAACATTAATGACTAAAGCTTAAAACTAATGGGTAAAAAGAATAAGATGTGTAATAAAGCAATAATAATAGAGCAATAACGATAATAGATAGCAATAACGAGTAATTCTTTGAGAATTCTTTGGAGACAATTCCTAACCTATACTTCTTCTCAAGGTCATGTTTTTTATTAATGGATTTAAGTATTCCCTCTGGCCCCAGACATCACTCGGTACCCTTACTCAAATCTCTGAATATGTTAGATATTAAGTCACTGCACATTATTCTCTCATGTGTATTATACATATATAAAACTCTGAACTGTAATGCCAATCCTGATCTTAAAAGCTTCCTAGAAGGTTGTAACAGAACCCATGAGCACCACACCAGAAACAAATACCTATTTGATATTCCTAGAGTACGTCTTAACCAAACTAGAAATGCTCTACAAATCAAGGGGCCCAGAATGTGGAATGACCTTCCCAACCATGTTAAAGACTGTACCTCTCTCAACCAGTTTATGACTAGAACTAAGTACTACCTAATTAACTCCATGTAACCTACCTTACCCCTAAATGTCAACCCATGTCTTGCTATTCTAATTTTTTTTATTTTATTTTATTTATGCATATACAAGAATGTACAAAGGAATGTGAGGATACAAATATGGTAATTACAGTCTTGTAAAGCCACTAGCACGCGCAGCGTTTCGGGCAGGTCCTTAATCTAAGAAAATTTTAAGGAGGTAAATACTTGCAAAATTTATAGACAAAAAAATGATAACAGATTACATGAAATGAAAAAAAAAGATGAGAGAAAATTATAGGTACAGTATATTAAAGCACATAGGTAGCTATGATTGATTGCAATGACAGCTTAAAATGGTAGTTGACAACAAATTGCCATGTTCCCCCCCCCCCACTTTTTTTCCTTCTTTTTATTCCCTTTTTTCAACACAATTTATACTTTATTCCTAATTACTATCAAGTTTTATATAGTCTAAGTCTTTTTCCCCCACACCCCTTGCCCGAAACTCTATACATATTAGTGGCTTTATGTATTGTATGTACTACCTCTATCTATAAATCCAACAGTATGCTTGTAACTCTGCATCTATGTATGCACTTTTCCTAAATAAAATATTATTATTATTATTAAATAAATAAATTCATGATGCCATTTTCTATGATGGATCTCAAAAGCTACAAAGAGAACGGATTTTCACAAGGGGAAACAATAATATTGTATTTAGGCATAAATACAGAGGGTCAGATTACACCTCCCAGAGCTACACAGATGTGAAGGGGTCAATATGATATCACTACCACTGAGAGATATCACAACTAGGGAAGTAAGGCTACACCACTGAGTGATAACTAGTTATAAAAAGCACTTTATATACCACTATGGATACCAACTTTCACTATGTCTTCCTTTACTTCATACAGTGGAATTCCCGTTCATGATGATGTGGGTGGTGGACGGGCGGCAGTGTGACGCCCATCAGGTCATTGCTAAGGTCCGGAACCACAGCCTCACTGCCCTTGACCCGGCCAAGACCGGCTTCACCTGCCCCCACTACTTCGACACCTTCGAGGAGGTCGCCACTTTGGCTCGTCCCCCCCTGGGTATGTGGGCTCCTGCTTGTCCCTATATGGTCGCCACTTTGGCTCGTCCCCCCCCCTGGGTATGTGGGCTCCTGCTTGTCCCTATATGGTCGCCACTTTGGCTCGTCCCCCCCCTGGGTACGTGGGCACCTGCTTCTCCCTTTATGGTCGCCACTTTGGCTCTTCCCCCCCCTGGGTATGTGGGCTTCTGCTTGTCCCTTTATGGTCGCCACTTTGGCTCGTCCCCCCCCCTGGGTATGTGGGCACCTGCTTGTCCCTTTATGGTCGCCACTTTGGCTCGTCCCTCCCCTGGGTATGTGGGCTCCTACTTGTCCCTTTATGGTCGCCACTTTGGCTCGTCCCCCCCTGGGTATGTGGGCTCCTGCTTGTCCCTTTATGGTTGCCACTTTGGCTCGTCCCCCCCTGGGTATGTGGGCTCCTACTTGTCCCTTTATGGTCGCCACTTTGGCTCGTCCCCCCCCCTGGGTATGTGGGCTCCTGCTTGTCACTTTATAGTCGCCACTTTGGCTCGTCCCCCCCTGGGTATGTGGGCTCCTACTTGTCCCTTTATGGTCGCCACTTTGGCTCGTCTCCCCCCCCCCCCTGGGTATGTGGGCTCTTGCTTGTCCCTTTATGGTCGCCACTTTGGCTCGTCCCCCCCCCTGGGTATGTGGGCTCTTGCTTGTCCCTTTATGGTCGCCACTTTGGCTCGTCCCCCCCCCCTGGGTATGTGGGCACCTGCTTGTCCCTTTATGGTTGCCACTTTGGCTCGTCTCCCCCCCTGGGTATGTGGGCACCTGCTTGTCCCTTTATGGTCGCCACTTTGGCTCGTCTCCCCCCCCCCTGGGTATGTGGGCTCCTACTTGTCCCTATATGGTCGCCACTTTGGCTCGTTCCCCCCTGGGTATGTGGGCACCTGCTTGTCCCTATATGGTCGCCACTTTGGCTCGTCCCCCCCCCCCTGGGTATGTGGGCACCTGCTTGTCCCTATATGGTCGCCACTTTGGCTCGTTCCCCCCTGGGTATGTGGGCTCCTGCTTGTCCCTTTATGGTCGCCACTTTGGCTCGTCTCCCCCCCCTGGGTATGTGGGCACCTGCTTGTCCCTTTATGGTCGCCACTTTGGCTCGTCCCCCCCTGGGTATGTGGGCACCTGCTTGTCCCTTTATGGTCGCCACTTTGGCTCGTCCCCCCCTGGGTATGTGGGCACCTGCTTGTCCCTTTATGGTCGCCACTTTGGCTCGTCTCCCCCCCCCCTGGGTATGTGGGTATGTGGGCACCTGCTTGTCCCTTTATGGTTGCCACTTTGGCTCGTCTCCCCCCCCCTGGGTATGTGGGCACCTGCTTGTCCCTTTATGGTCGCCACTTTGGCTCGTCCCCCCTGGGTATGTGGGCACCTGCTTGTCCCTTTATGGTCGCCACTTTGGCTCGTCCCCCCCCCTGGGTATGTGGGCACCTGCTTGTCCCTATATGGTCGCCACTTTGGCTCGTCCCCCCCTGGGTATGTGGGCTCCTGCTTGTCCCTATATGGTCGCCACTTTGGCTCGTCCCCCCCTGGGTATGTGGGCACCTGCTTGTCCCTTTATGGTCGCCACTTTGGCTCGTCCCCCCCCTGGGTATGTGGGCACCTGCTTGTCCCTTTATGGTCGCCACTTTGGCTCGTCCCCCCTGGGTATGTGGGCTCCTGCTTGTCCCTATATGGTCGCCACTTTGGCTCGTCCCCCCCCCTGGGTATGTGGGCACCTGCTTGTCCCTTTATGGTCGCCACTTTGGCTCGTACCCCCTGGGTATGTGGGCACCTGCTTGTCCCTTTATGGTCGCCACTTTGGCTCGTCCCCCCCTGGGTATGTGGGCACCTGCTTGTCCCTATATGGTCGCCACTTTGGCTCGTCCCCCCCTGGGTATGTGGGCTCCTGCTTGTCCCTATATCGTCGCCACTTTGGCTCGTCCCCCCCTGGGTATGTGGGCACCTGCTTGTCCCTTTATGGTCGCCACTTTGGCTCGTCCCCCCCCTGGGTATGTGGGCACCTGCTTGTCCCTATATGGTCGCCACTTTGGCTCGTCCCCCCCTGGGTATGTGGGCTCCTGCTTGTCCCTATATGGTCGCCACTTTGGCTCGTGGCTCGTCCCCCCCCCCCTGGGTATGTGGGCACCTGCTTGTCCCTATATGGTCGCCACTTTGGCTCGTCCCCCCCTGGGTATGTGGGTACCTGCTTGTCCCTTTATGGTCGCCACTTTGGCTCGTCCCCCCCCCTGGGTATGTGGGCACCTGCTTGTCCCTATATGGTCGCCACTTTGGCTCGTCCCCCCCTGGGTATGTGGGCTCCTGCTTGTCCCTTTATGGTCGCCACTTTGGCTCGTCCCCCCCTGGGTATGTGGGCTCCTGCTTGTCCCTATATGGTCGCCACTTTGGCTCGTCCCCCCCCCCCCCCCTTTCAGGGTCGCGTTATCCATACATCTCCTTAAATCAACCTTTCATTGTACTGTTAAAGCAGGTCTTGTTACATTATCAGTTATTTTCATAACTTTTCAACACTTCATTTATGTTGTCATATCTCCCTTAATTTTAAGTATTACCTCATAACACCTGCTCACTTTGTCCTGTTTTCGTGTTATTGTCCTCCCTAAAAGCTGAATATCATTTGCAACTCCAGGTTGCAATTATTTTACCATGTCGTAGCGCAGTCGGCTATAGCATGCCAAGGCCGGACAGAAATGGTTGGACATGTTTCTCTTCATCTGATGCTCCTGTTCACCTTGCAGTAAACACCTACCCGGGGGTTTAGACAACTGTATTGGGTTGTATCCAGCGGAAGGCTGAACATCGACGAGCTTCCTGTCACCGACAGCTGGAATTATTAGTATATGTAATATATTTATCCCAGACGTAAATATTCTTAGTCTCGTATCCCACAGAGAAAATCCCGCGCAAGGCGACGACGGCCTCAACTGGTTATATTATAACCGTCTTCAAAGTCTTCGAGGGAGACGACGGAGTCAAGTTCGAACGGAACTGGCTGGCTTGGACCGGTGAGTTGAAGGTCTGGACAGGTTAGTCGCTGGCCTGGACAGGTTAGTCGCTGGCCTGGACAGGTTAGTCGCTGGCCTGGACAGGTTAGTCGCTGGCCTGGACAGGTTAGTCGCTGGCCTGGACAGGTTAGTCGCTGGCCTGGACAGGCTAGTCGCTGGCCTGGACAGGTTAGTCGCTGGCCTGGACAGGTTAGTCGCTGGCCTGGACAGGTTAGTCACTGGCCTGGACAGGTTAGTCACTGGCCTGGACAGGTTAGTCGCTGGCCTGAACAGATTAGTCGCTGTCCTGGACAGATTAGTCGCTGGCCTGGACAGGTGAGTCGCTGGCTTGGACAGGTGAGTCACTGGCCTGGACAGGTGAGTCGCTGTCCTGGACAGGTGAGTCACTGGCCTGGACAGGTGAGTCGCTGGCCTGGACAGGTGAGTCGCTGGCCTGGACAGGTGAGTCGCTGGCCTGGACAGGTGAGTCGCTGGCCTGGACAAGTGAGTCGCTGGCCTGGACAGGTTAGTCGCTGGCCTGGACAGGTTAGTCACTGGCCTGGACAGGTGAGTCACTGGCCTGGACAGGTTAGTCGCTGGCTTGGACAAGTGAGTCGCTGGCCTGGACAGGTGAGTCACTGGCCTGGACAGGTTAGTCGCTGGCTTGGACAGGTTAGTCACTGGCCTGGACAGGTGAGTCGCTGGCCTGGACAGGTTAGTCTCTGGCCTGGACAAGTGAGTCGCTGGCCTGGACAGGTTAGTCGCTGGCCTGGACAAGTGAGTCGCTGGCCTGGACAGGTTAGTCGCTGGCCTGGACAGGTGAGTCGCTGGCCTGGACAGGTTAGTCGCTGGCCTGGACAGGTTAGTCGCTGGCCTGGACAGGTGAGTCGCTGGCCTGGACAGGTTAGTCGCTGGCCTGGACAGGTTAGTCGCTGGCCTGGACAAGTGAGTCGCTGGCCTGGACAAGTGAGTCGCTGGCCTGGACAAGTGAGTCGCTGGCCATAACAGGTGAATCACTGACCTGGAGAGATGAGTGGGACACAATCTAGCTGAACTAGACAGATGAGTTACCAATCTCCAGTTCAATATTGCAGTCATAATCAATATCAACCTCTTTCACATCAATAATAGCAACAGTAAAATGAAACGTCTATTCGTAAGAATACTAAGTGTATGTTTATCCCCCCCCCCCAGGAGCAAAGACTCTTTACAAGAGCCTCACCAACGAAGTGGGTCTTCGGCGGCTGACGCTACACAAGTCGAAGCCTCAGAACGGCTGTCTCCACTACGTTCTCCTCTGTGACTGTTCCAGCTTCCTTACCTGCATCCACCAGGCGGTTAAGGCTATTCCCGCCCTCCGTCTGCGTCTTTGTGGAGACATGGGTCTTTACAGACCAATCGCTACCTTCTGATCGAGGCTAGCGTAGACGACAAGACCCACCGCTGCCTTCTGGGGCTCACGTAGACGACAAGACCCACCACTACCTTCTGGGGCTCGCGTAGACGACAAGACCCACCGCTGCCTTCTGGGGCTCATGTAGACGACAAGACCCACCACTACCTTCTGGGGCTCGCGTAGACGACAAGACCCACCGCTGCCTTCTGGGGCTCACGTAGACGACAAGACCCACCACTACCTTCTGGGGCTCGCGTAGACGACAAGACCCACCGCTGCCTTCTAGGGCTCGCGTAGACGACAAGACCCACCACTACCTTCTAGGGCTCGCGTAGATGACAAGACCCACCCTACCTTCTGGGGCTCGCGTAGACGACAAGACCCACTACTACCTTCTGGGGCTCTCGTAGACGACAACACCCACCGCTACCTTCTGGGGCTCTCGTAGACGACAACACCCACCGCTACCTTCTGGGGCTCTCGTAGACGACAACACTCACCGCTACCTTCTGGGGCTCTCGTATACGACAAGACCCACCGCTATCTTCTGGGGCTCTCGTAGACGACAACACCCACCGCTACCTTCTGGGGGCCTCGTAGACGACAAGACCCACCACTACCTTCTGGGGCTCTCGTAGACGACAACACCCACCGCTACCTTCTGGGGCTCTCGTAGACGACAACACCCACCGCTACCTTCTGGGGCTCTCGTAGACGACAACACTCACCGCTACCTTCTGGGGCTCTCGTATACGACAAGACCCACCGCTATCTTCTGGGGCTCTCGTAGACGACAACACCCACCGCTACCTTCTGGGGCTCTCGTAGACGACAACACCCACCGCTACCTTCTGGGGCTCTCGTATACGACAAGACCCACCGCTACCTTCTGGGGCTCACGTAGACGACAACACTCACCGCTACCTTCTGGGGCTCGCGTAGACGACAACACCCACCACTACCTTCTGGGGCTCGCGTAGACGACAAGACCCACCACTACCTTCTGGGGGCCTCGTAGACGACAAGACCCACCGCTACCTTCTGGGGCTCTCGTAGACGACAACCTTCTGGGGCTCTCGTAGACGACAACACCCACCGCTACCTTCTGGGGCTCTCGTAGACGACAAGACCCACCGCTACCTTCTGGGGGCCTCATAGACGACAAGACCCACCGCTACCTTCTGGGGCTCACGTAGACGACAACACTCACCGCTACCTTCTGGGGCTCTCGTAGACGACAACACCCACCGCTACCTTCTGGGGCTCTCGTAGACGACAACACCCACCGCTACCTTCTGGGGCTCTCGTAGACGACAACACCCACCGCTACCTTCTGGGGCTCGCGTAGACGACAACACCCACCGCTACCTTCTGGGGCTCGCGTAGACGACAACACCCACCGCTACCTTCTGGGGCTCTCGTAGACGACAACACCCACCGCTACCTTCTGGGGCTCTCGTAGACGACAACACCCACCGCTACCTTCTGGGGCTCTCGTAGACGACAACACCCACCGCTACCTTCTGGGGCTCTCGTAGACGACAACACCCACCGCTACCTTCTGGGGCTCTCGTAGACGACAACACCCACCGCTACCTTCTGGGGCTCTCGTAGACGACAACACCCACCGCTACCTTCTGGGGCTCTCGTAGACGACAACACCCACCGCTACCTTCTGGGGCTCTCGTAGACGACAACACCCACCGCTACCTTCTGGGGCTCTCGTAGACGACAACACCCACCGCTACCTTCTGGGGCTCTCGTAGACGACAACACCCACCGCTACCTTCTGGGGGCCTCGTAGACGACAACACCCACCGCTACCTTCTGGGGCTCTCGTAGACGACAACACCCACCGCTACCTTCTGGGGGCCTCGTAGACGACAACACCCACCGCTACCTTCTGGGGCTCTCGTAGACGACAAGACCCACCGCTACCTTCTGGGGCTCTCGTAGACGACAACACCCACCGCTACCTTCTGGGGCTCTCGTAGACGACAAGACCCACCGCTACCTTCTGGGGCTCTCGTAGACGACAACACCCACCGCTACCTTCTGGCGCTCGCGTAGACGACAACACCCACCGCTACCTTCTCTATAAATCCATAAATCGACAACACTACATCTAATTTATTTTTTATTTTTCAATCTAAACTTATGAAATTTGTACTCATTCTTTCATGATTCATTTCGTGTTGATATATTTAGTATCCTGTTGATATATATTCTTTGTAATATATTTACCCTTTCATTCATTTGTACATTTTAATCATATTCCCCTTTTTTGAGAGAATGTAAAATGTGATTTTTGAATGTTAGAGGTTTCTAAGGCCCGGAATTAATGTAATTATCCATCTTTCCATGTTATTTAGAGAATTTATGTACATTCTATAGTGTGGTATGTAAGTATGTATGCCATGTCATGAAATTGAGGTATATAAATATATTATATATACTTATACAGTACAGAAGTAACTAAGAAAAATTCAATACATCATTTTTTTTAATTGTAGCATTCGTTACTCACGTAATCAAGAGTATGTACAGAGATCAGATATTGCTGACTAAATCACACACGAGAACCACTGATACAGTCCATTGTTAGAGCAAAGGATTTGTTCAGGGTCTTAACATACCTTAACCCAGGATCTGACCTTACCTTAGCCCAGAGTCTGACCTTACCTTAGCCCAGGGGCTGACCTTACCTTAGCCCAGAGTCTGACCTTACCTTAGCCCAGAGACTGACCTTACCTTAGCCCAGAGTCTGACCTTACCTTAACACAGAGTCTGACCTGACCTTAACATAGAGTCTGACCTGACCTTAGCCCAGAGTCTGACCTTACCTTAGCCCAGAGACTGACCTAACCTTAGCTCAGAGTCTGACCTTACCTTAGCATAGAGTCTGACCTTACCTTAGCCCAGAGTCTGACCTTACCTTAGCCCAGAGTCTGACCTTATCTTAGCCCAGAGTCTGATCTTACCTTAGCCCAGAGTCTGACCTTACCTTAGCCCAGAGTCTGACCTGACCTTAGCCCAGAGTCTGACCTTACCTTAGCCCAGAGTCTGACCTCACCTTAGCCCAGAGTCTGACCTTACCTTAACATAGAGTCTGACCTGACCTTAGCCCAGGGGCTGACCTTACCTTAGCCCAGGGGCTGACCTTACCTTAGCCCAGAGTCTGACCTCACCTTAGCCCAGAGTCTGACCTTACCTTAGCCCAGAGTCTGACCTCACCTTAGCCCAGGGGCTGGCCTTACCTTAGCCCAGAGTCTGACCTTACCTTAACATAGAGACTGACCTGACCTTAGCCCAGGGGCTGACCTTACCTTAGCCCAGGGGCTGACCTTACCTTAGCCCAGAGTCTGACCTCACCTTAGCCCAGAGTCTGACCTTACCTTAACATAGAGTCTGACCTGACCTTAACATAGAGTCTGACCTTACCTTAGCCCAGAGTCTGACCTTACCTTAGCCCAGAGTCTGACCTTACCTTAGCCCAGAGTCTGACCTCACCTTAGCCCAGAGTCTGACCTTACCTTAACATAGAGTCTGACCTTACCTTAACATAGAGTCTGACCTGACCTTAGCCCAGGGGCTGACCTTACCTTAGCCCAGGGGCTGACCTTACCTTAGCCCAGAGTCTGACCTTACCTTAGCCCAGGGGCTGACCTTACCTTAGCCCAGGGGCTGACCTTACCTTAGCCCAGAGTCTGACCTTACCTTAGCCCAGGGGCTGACCTTACCTTAGCCCAGGGGCTGACCTTACCTTAGCCCAGGGGCTGACCTTACCTTAGCCCAGGGGCTGACCTTACCTTAGCCCAGGGGCTGACCTTACCTTAGCCCAGAGTCTGACCTTACCTTAGCCCAGGGGCTGACCTTACCTTAGCCCAGGGGCTGACCTTACCTTAGCCCAGAGTCTGACCTTACCTTAGCCCAGGGGCTGACCATACCTTAGCCCAGGGGCTGACCATACCTTAGCCCAGGGGCTGACCTTACCTTAGCCCAGAGTCTGACCTTACCTTAACATAGAGTCTGACCTGACCTTAGCCCAGAGTCTGACCTTACCTTAACATAGAGTCTGACCTGACCTTAGCCCAGAGTCTGACCTTACCTTAACATAGAGTCTGACCTGACCTTAGCCCAGGGGCTGACCTTACCTTAGCCCAGGGGCTGACCTTACCTTAGCCAGGGGCTGACCTTACCTTAGCCCAGGGGCTGACCTTACCTTAGCCCAGGGGCTGACCTTACCTTAGCCCAGAGTCTGACCTTACCTTAGCCCAGGGGCTGACCATACCTTAGCCCAGGGGCTGACCATACCTTAGCCCAGGGGCTGACCTTACCTTAACATAGAGTCTGACCTGACCTTAGCCCAGAGTCTGACCTTACCTTAACATAGAGTCTGACCTGACCTTAGCCCAGGGGCTGAACTAACCTTTTCATATGGTCTGACTTAGCCTTTACCTGTGCCGTCATTGTTGGTGTTCCATTGTTAAAAATTACTTTATTTGTAATAATTCTTTTTATATTACTTGTAAGAAAGAAAAATAAAATGGTTTAAGAAGAATTTTTGTTTACATTATTTCCTATCCTACTGGGGCTCTTGTTTACATTATGTTCTCTCCTGCTGGGGCTCTTGTTTACATTATGTCCTCTCCTGCTGGGGCTCTTGTTTACATTATGTCCTCTCCTGTTGGGGCACTTGTTTACATTATGTCCTCTCCTGCTGGGGCTCTTGTTTACATTATGTCCTCTCCTGCTGGGGCACTTGTTTACATTATGTCCTCTCCTGCTGGGGCACTTGTTTACATTATGTCCTCTCCTGCTGGGGCTCTTGTTTACATTATGTCCTCTCCTGCTGGGGCTCTTGTTTACATTATGTCCTCTCCTGCTGGGGCTCTTGTTTACATTATGTCCTCTCCTGCTGGGGCACTTGTTTACATTATGTCCTCTCCTGCTGGGGCTCTTGTTTACATTATGTCCTCTCCTGCTGGGGCACTTGTTTACATTATGTCCTCTCCTGCTGGGGCTCTTGTTTACATTATGTCCTCTCCTGCTGGGGCTCTTGTTTACATTATGTTCTCTCCTGCTGGGGCTCTTGTTTACATTATGTTCTCTCCTGCTGGGGCTCTTGTTTATTTCCTCTCCTACTGGGGCTCTTGTTTACATTATGTTCTCTCCTGCTGGGGCTCTTGTTTACATTATGTTCTCTCCTGCTGGGGCTCTTGTTTACATTATGTTCTCTCCTGCTGGGGCTCTTGTTTACATTATTTCCTCTCCTACTGGGGCTCTTGTTTACATTATGTCCTCTCCTGCTGGGGCACTTGTTTACATTATGTCCTCTCCTGCTGGGGCTCTTGTTTACATTATGTCCTCTCCTGCTGGGGCTCTTGTTTACATTATGTCTCTCCTGCTGGGGCTCTTGTTTACATTATGTCCTCTCCTGCTGGGGCACTTGTTTACATTATGTCCTCTCCTGCTGGGGCTCTTGTTTACATTATGTCCTCTCCTGCTGGGGCTCTTGTTTACATTATGTCCTCTCCTGCTGGGGCTCTTGTTTACATTATGTCCTCTCCTGCTGGGGCTCTTGTTTACATTATGTCCTCTCCTGCTGGGGCTCTTGTTTACATTATGTCCTCTCCTGCTGGGGCTCTTGTTTACATTATGTTCTCTCCTGCTGGGGCTCTTGTTTACATTATGTCCTCTCCTGCTGGGGCTCTTGTTTACCTCTCCTGCTGGGCTCTTGTTTACATTATGTCCTCTCCTGCTGGGGCTCTTGTTTACATTATGTCCTCTCCTGCTGGGGCTCTTGTTTACATTATGTTCTCTCCTGCTGGGGCTCTTGTTTACATTATGTCCTCTCCTGCTGGGGCTCTTGTTTACATTATGTTCTCTCCTGCTGGGGCTCTTGTTTACATTATGTTCTCTCCTGCTGGGGCTCTTGTTTACATTATGTCCTCTCCTGCTGGGGCTCTTGTTTACATTATGTTCTCTCCTGCTGGGGCTCTTGTTTACATTATGTCCTCTCCTGCTGGGGCTCTTGTTTACATTATGTTCTCTCCTGCTGGGGCTCTTGTTTACATTATGTCCTCTCCTGCTGGGGCTCTTGTTTACATTATGTCCTCTCCTGCTGGGGCTCTTGTTTACATTTCTCTCCTGCTGGGGCTCTTGTTTACATTATGTTCTCTCCTGCTGGGGCTCTTGTTTACATTATGTTCTCTCCTGCTGGGGCTCTTGTTTACATTATGTTCTCTCCTGCTGGGGCTCTTGTTTACATTATGTTCTCTCCTGCTGGGGCTCTTGTTTACATTATGTCCTCTCCTGCTGGGGCTCTTGTTCTCTCCTGCTGGGGCTCTTGTTTACATTATGTTCTCTCCTGCTGGGGCTCTTGTTTACATTATGTTCTCTCCTGCTGGGGCTCTTGTTTACATTATGTTCTCTCCTGCTGGGGCTCTTGTTTACATTATGTCCTCTCTGCTGGGGCTCTTGTTTACATTATGTCCTCTCCTGCTGGGGCTCTTGTTTACATTATGTCCTCTCCTGCTGGGGCTCTTGTTTACATTATGTCCTCTCCTGCTGGGGCTCTTGTTTACATTACGTCTCAGAGACTTGTCTTCAGCACCCACATACAACACAACCAAAAGTCTAAAAACGGTTGGTATACTCTCTAAAAGCAGATATTATGTTCCAAACTCTGCTCACCTCTCACTATACTACACGTTAATCTATGCCAATCTTAATTATGGTATCTGTGCATGGGAGTTCAACCACTGCAAACCACCTCAAGCCCATCATCACCCAGCAAAAATCTGCTATCAGCAATAATAACAAACTCTGCTTTCAGACAACACTCAGCTCCCTTGTTTAAATCCCTTAACTTGCTAAATATTAACTCCCTCCACACATTGTGTCAACTACATTTACAAAACCTTTTTCTTAAATGCAAATCCTGCTCTGAAACTCCCCCTGGACAGATGTAATAGGACCCATTATCACCACACCAGACATAAATATCTCTTTGATATCCCTAGAGTCAAATTAAATCAGTGTAAACACTCTATATAAATAAAGGGACCCAGTCTATAGAACTCACTCCCTAGTGAATTAAAAAGCTGTCCAACCTACGCCTTATTCAAAAATAAAACCAAAAAGTACCTAATTTCATCCACTTAGTTTTCTACTTAATGCACTGTATCGTATGTTACCCAAAAATATATACCTAAGCCATATAACTTCACCATTATAATCACTACAATCATCTTATATAATGGTTGTCATATGAATGCAAATTTTACTGCAATATACCTAAAAATAATCCTCAAATTATGCTACAATATACCTATTAATAATCCTCAAATTTTACTATAATGTACCTACTAATTTTCTTAAAATTTTCTTACAACATACCTATTAACTTTTTCAATTTCGCGACAAATTTCCTACATAAAATTATCTATTAGAGTAAGGCCTTGCCCGAAACGCTATATGCGTGTTCGTGGCTTTACAAGAATGTAAACAATTCAATACTATGTCCTCTCATAAACCCAAAAGTACCTTCTTGTATATAAATTAATATATAAATAACTGTAGCTAAGAAGGTTTAATAGTACTGCATGTAGGGGGAACAGAAAATTGATCTTATATGCGTTTATAATGCGTATATGTGAAGATTTAGCAGCTTGAACTCCCTCCTCCCCTCCCCCCCGTCCCCAAGGTTGATTCAGCAGCGTACTGAATGACCCGTGTGTGTGCGTGTGTGCGTGTGTGTGTGTGTGTGTGTGTGTGTGTGTGTGTGTGTGTGTTGTGCATGCGCGCGTGTGTGTGTACTCATCTAATTGTGCTTGCCTTGAGCTCACACATCCCTAGGAAGCAGCCCGCAACAGCTGTCTAACTCCCAGGTACCTATTTGCTAAGTGAACAGGTGCATCAGGGTGTAAGAAACCCTGCCCATTTTTGGTTTCTGTCATCACCGGGGATCGAACCCGGAACCCTAGGATTACGAGTCCAGAGCGCTGTCCACTCACTTATCAAGGCCCCCTTGATAGCTCATATCAAAGTGTGGATATGAGTGGATGTAAGTGCGTGAGAATTCATACGAGTGGATATGAGAGCGTGAGAGTACACCTGAGAGCGTGAGAGTACACCAGAGAGCGCGAGAGTACACCAGAGAGCGTGAGAGTACACCAGAGAGCGTGAGAGTACACCAGAGAGCGCGAGAGTACACCAGAGAGCGTGAGAGTACACCAGAGAGCGTGAGAGTACACCAGAGCGCGAGAGTACACCAGAGAGCGTGAGAGTACACCAGAGAGCGTGATTGTACACCAGAGAGCGTAAGAGTACACGTGAGAGCGTGAGAGTACACGTGAGAGCGTGAGAGTACACCAGAGAGCGTGAGAGTACACCAGAGAGCGTGAGAGTACACCTGAGAGCGTGAGAGTACACCAGAGAGCGTGAGAGTACACCAGAGAGCGTGAGAGTACACCAGAGAGCGTGAGAGTACACCAGAGAGCGTGAGAGTACACCTGAGAGCGTGAGAGTACACCAGAGAGCGTGAGAGTACACCAGAGAGCGTGAGAGTACACCAGAGAGCGTGAGTGTACACCAGAGAGCGTAAGAGTACACCTGAGAGCGTGAGAGTACACCAGAGAGCGTGAGAGTACACCAGAGAGCGTGAGAGTACACCAGAGAGCGTGAGAGTACACCAGAGAGCGTGATTGTACACCAGAGAGCGTAAGAGTACACGTGAGAGCGTGAGAGTACACGTGAGAGCGTGAGAGTACACCAGAGAGCGTGAGTGTACACCAGAGAGCGTGAGAGTACACCTGAGAGCGTGAGAGTACACCAGAGAGCGTGAGAGTACACCAGAGAGCGTGAGTGTACACCAGAGAGCGTAAGAGTACACCTGAGAGCGTGAGAGTACACCAGAGAGCGTGAGAGTACACCAGAGAGCGTGAGAGTACACCAGAGAGCGTGAGAGTACACCAGAGAGCGTGATTGTACACCAGAGAGCGTAAGAGTACACGTGAGAGCGTGAGAGTACACGTGAGAGCGTGAGAGTACACCAGAGCATGAGTGTACACCAGAGAGCGTGAGAGTACACCTGAGAGCGTGAGAGTACACCAGAGAGCGTGAGAGTACACCAGAGAGCGTGAGAGTACACCAGAGAGCGTGAGTGTACACCAGAGAGCGTGAGAGTACACCTGAGAGCGTGAGAGTACACCAGAGAGCGTGAGAGTACACCAGAGAGCGTGAGAGTACACCAGAGAGCGTGAGTGTACACCAGAGAGCGTGAGAGTACACCTGAGAGCGTGAGAGAGTACACGCCAGAGTGGATGCGAGTGGATACACACAAGAGAGCGCGCGCGCGGGAAAAAAGTTGTGCCGTGTGCATAATGGCGGGAGCGGGAGCGAGGTGCCGTGTGCAGTGGCGGGAGCCAATCAGCGCTCAGTCTGGCCGGCCAACAGCCAATCAGCGCTCAGTCTAGCCCCAACATCCCCGTGGCAGACCTTCCCGACGCGTTAAACTGGTGAGAAACCCTTTATCTTTCACTCTTTTCCCGCAGGAATATGGCCCCTGGGCCCTCTGGAGTGGCGGCAGCTGGTGGTGTGGCCACAGGTGGTGTGGCACAGATGGTGTGGCTGTCTGTCTGTATATGGAGTGCGTCGGGGGATGTGTTTCTGCTGGTTAAATGGAGGCGTTTGGGCAGTGGGGGCGTCACTCATTCACTCTGGGGAAGATACGCATGCAGGTGCACTCTGGGAGGTACTCTTGCACTCTATGAGGACCTCTAAGGTGGTGGGCGTTACTGCTTTTACACTCGTGCACTCATTCTCACTCACACGCTGTGTGCACTCTAGACACACTTGCCTCCACTCTGAGGTCTCGAGTGTGTATATTCCCAAGTTGTTTGGTTCTAAAATATACCTGTAGTATAACTGGCATTATGGAGTGTCAGGTGTGTGTTGTGGCACATGTGACTGTTTTAATCTACTTAAAAAGAGATTTTGTGGTGCAGGAGATTAGCTTGAGTGTGTTTTACGTGTCGTTGAGTGCAACATTGGAGCGGGGGAGAGTGCACGCACTTGGGCCGAGAACGAAGGTGTCTGGACACTTGAGGTTGCCACAGTGGATTTAAAATGCTATATATTATATTTTGTATGTTATATATGTGCGCTATCTTGGGTGTTGCAGCGGGTAATGCGCATGCGGAGTAATCGACGGTAATCCGGGCATTGTTGAGTGCGTTGGTGCCCAGGCTCCAGATAGATGGGTATTACGCCCATTTTTTGATTGGCGTAGTCGCGTTGTACCCAAGGTTGTTCGGCAGTGAATTTAAAAAACCTGCTTTGTCTTCCTACCCTAAGCTAAGGTAATGCAGCCTAGTCTATTGATGTATTGGGTTTTTACAGTTAGAATACATTTGTGAAAAGGCTTGTTTGAGTTCGTCTTTAATATAAATGTATAGACATTTGTCCTAATACCTACGTAATGTATAACGTTATTAAAGAAAGGGTCCCGATAGTGGTCGGGTTCGTTCTAGATTGACTATCGAGAATTCCGGGTTCGAATCCCAGGCGGGACAGAAATGGTTGGGCACGTTGCCTGTCACCTAATGCGCCTGTTCACCTAGCAGTAAATAGGTAACAACGAGTTAGCTTGTTGTGGGGTTGCAGCCATGGGGGGGGGGGAGCAATATAAGCCTAACATTTATAGGTATACGCTCTGGCTGCCTGTTCCGTCACGCTATGAATTATTATTATTACTGTATTATTATTGAAAAGATGTGGTGTACATGAGCACCAGGTTGAAGCCAGCAACATATTCCAGGTCTATAAGGTGACCAAATTGTTTCGTGGGATTTTTTACACTGTTGTTTGCCGATGACGTTGTGTACTTGTTGGATGTCTTGGCATAGTCGCCTACATCACAATGGTCTGGATGCTGAAACAGTTTTCATAAAATGGTTTCATTATGAATTACAGAAATGCATGACAAAATATGGTATGAATTATGTTTATTGATAAATGTAACATAGGATTTGTTTATTCTATTCCCAGCTGGGCAAAAGTGCTGTAGGATGTTATTCGTCGATGAATAGCCGATATTAATGTTGAAGAGTCTGTCGTCGAGTTGGGTTGGTTATATCGGCCTGGTTTTAAGAAGGCAAAATTTGCATTGAACATAACTATACAAGTTGATAGCAGTAATTATAATGACGTATGTGTTAGGCACATATTGGGGGAGTGGGTAGCATAAGATTCAGTGCCAGTTTGAACTAATTAATAATAATTGCTAATTATTAAAAGTATACTAATTGGTTAGGTAGCAAGTCGCTACGGTGAACTTAAGAATTCTGGACAAGTGCGGGTGTGGATGGAGTTTTGCTGGGCGTGAAGGTGCTTGAAAACTAGGTATTTGTAAAAATATGGTTAATACTCTGATTCAGAGCCTATTAGACCTATGGCAATCCAATTATAATGGGGGAAGGGCTACTACCTTATCGGTATTGTGCTGTGGGATACCCCTATGTTCAGTAATATTTATCATGTTTATTATGATAAGGGATTATCATTATCATATTTATCAGTAAGCATTATAGTCTGATTGTTTATATGGATTGTACTTTTGGTTTTGTGCCTCTCCAGGTGATCAGATTACATATACTGTATAGTTGTTTAAGTTTTTGAAATGGAGATGGACGGCTTGCCACTCTGCAGTGATCTCCCGACATTTCGAACCAACGTAATAAATTATAACATGCAGTACCCGATATGGAACTGAAGTGAAATTTGCTTGGAATTGTACAATCTATTTGGAGTTTTATGTTCACTTGGAGAAGTATGGGCAGGAGTTTGCTACTTTAAAACTCCTATCAACAAATGGAAAATATTGCTGGAACAGAGTTGGAAGCGTACAAGAGGAAACTTGACACGTTGCTACTGGAGTTAGTACTCGCCTATTTGTGCTTGCGGGGATTGAGCTTTGGCTCTTTGGTCGCGCCTCTCAACTGGGGACAGTTGATTGACAGTTGAGAGGTGCCATCCATTAGTGGATGAGCGGATGAGCATGGTTGCGATGGCTGTGTGGGTATTGTGGGCTACGAAGTCATCTCGGACTAGGAAAGCCTCGGACTAATCGAGGAATTTGATTTGTCCGATTGTGAGCTGCACTGTTCTTCAAAGGTTTTATCCCTTACCCCGACCAAGGGTATACGCAGTGCAGTATGTACAAGATATTATTTTCTATACATAAATACAGAGTAGGTTAAAGTAATAAAAGTTTATTAGTTTAACAAGAAACTGAAACTTGAAATTAATGAAAAAAAGCATAAAGCATGAGTTAGGAAGCACCACACCAGGCCTGTTGGCCCCTCCCTGGTGAGTTCCATTAAATTCCACAGTGTCTTATTTGTGTATTTATCCACTTTATTCTTGAAACCTGTAAAGTGTTTATATCTCTAATGATAGTTGACTGTCAACTGCACTTGTCCACAGGTGTTTCCAAACCAGTACGTGGCTATATCCCTAATAATAACACATTTCGTGTTGAACCTGTTGTTGTCATGTGAACTTGTGTACTTGTGTTGTGGTTCCTCATCTGTCCCAGGGTTTCCCCATCCATTTGCACTCAATTTTGTTACTGTAACTGATGTTAAATAATTCTGGTACTCGGTTAAGTTATAATACTATAAGTTTTGCCAAGGCATTATTAAGTGCTAGCCACTGATGTAAATACTAGAGATAACTGATCAATTTTTTCTAGGTTAAATTTGAGGTTAAGTATAATATTGTATAATAAATCGCAGTAAATAAATGTTCATACCATGAAGTTACCTTGAAGTGATTCCAATAAAAAATGTCTGGCCCAGCATCTGATCTCGACTGGTTGGTGGTCTGCTCAACCAGGCTGTTAGGACACTGCTGTTCAGTGTCTGAAGAATGAATTGCAACCCATTTGTGTGAACACCATGTGGGGTCAGTTAGCTACGCCCCTTAGGGTGCAGAGGAAGCGTAATTACCTAAGTGTAGTTACAGGATAAGAGCTACGCTCGTGGTGTCCCGTCTTCCCAACACTGTCATATAACACTTTGAAATTACTGACGGTTTTGGCCTCCACCACCTTCTCACCTAACTTGTTCCAACCGTCTATCACTTGTAAAGTCTAAGACTGAATCTGGAGATGGTATCAGGAGTGCAGTATCTCTGTGTTAATAGAATTTTTGCTTAGAATTCCCATTGCATCTTTACTTCTCATCCAGGTCGTTTTGAAATTTCTGCCATGCCTCCTGGTCACACAGAGTTATTACTCTTTACGAAACGCTATGCACATTAGTGACTTTACAAGAATGTAAAAGCATCGATGCTATATAATTTCATAAACTCAATGTGTACTCTCTTATATATTGAATAAATACAATTTTTCCTGTGCAGGTTTGAACTAATCTTTAATGTTTTCCATATACTGTGTGTAATTTTAACAAGTAGCTCATGATATTCGTGAAGTATCCATCTTCTGTGAAAAGAAGCAATTATTGTATTAAGGTTCAACCAAACAAATGTACAGTATATTAAATGAGCTGATGAATATATTGAGAATTCAGTTTCATTGTAGATCGATAACGTCGTAATGAAGCTGTGCAATGCTCAAATGATGCTTCCTGCTAGCATTCTCTTAACATTATACATGTTCACTACTGTATTTAGTAACCTTAAATGTTTAGATTGGATTGCTGATAGATAAGTAAATTTTCCAAATTTATCGCCATCAGTTATTTTGTCCCCTCAATAGAATCCTTGGTGAATCAGATCCCTTTGATATCGCTCGCCTTATGTGCTTTTGGTATTGGCATCGTTGGTGATATTTAGCACCTTTTGAACATGGAGCAACCTTGGTGCTACATAGTCTCCCCGGCTTGGTGCCGCCTTTTGATAATTACTTACTTTCAAATTTATCGGTGTAATCAAATGCGTTTATGCTAACAAAGTACTGAACAGTGTGCAGACGACGAGTTGCAATAACGTGGCTGAAGATACAACTAAACCACACACCAGAAGATTAGGGGGACGAAGACGTTTTGGTCGATCCTGGACCATTATCAAGTCCATTGTAGACTTGATAATGTACAATCAACTTGATGATAGTCCAGGATGGACCGAAATGTCGTCGTCCCCTCATCTTCTGGTGTGTGGTTGAGTCGTCATACTGAACAGTGTACTTTATATAAATTAGGAAGGGTTGTGCGTGTGAAATTAAATATTTTTTATGAAAAAATCTTGGAATGTTTTTTGATAAGATTTTATGCTATCAACGTATTTTTTGTTTGCATATTGTGATAGATTCGTTAAAAAATGATAGGCGATATATTTGTCTAGTCGACCATATCGTCCCTATAACGTGTTGTTGCGACATCAATATCGTCCCTGTGATGTGTACTACTGTACCTGTACTGTACTACTGTACCTGTGGTTGGTAGTACGAGTTCATTGTTTGAGCCTGACAAAGTCTGGCTTCTTAGGTTACCTTCTCTTACCTACCATTACCTTTGATGTTGCCGTTTGCAACATCACGGTCTAAGGTCTGGCCATTCATCAAATTTGTGGAAAAAAATACTAAAGTAGATTGTAAGGCAGGAAGTAGTGTCAGCTCGTCCGCACGAGCTCTCCTGTGTTTGTCGGGAATATGGTGCAGCATCTGGGTTCTGTCAATTTAATTGTTAAACTTGTAATGAATCATTAACTTGAGTTCTGCCATATTTACACGCGTGAGTGAACGAGAGAGAGTGCTAGCTGAATATAGTAAAATTTTACTGTAAGAATGGACCACCAAAGGTTTACCACATGACCATAGAGAACTGCTTATATAAAAGTAATTGAATTTTTAACCATGTTGTTACAGAATTGTATCGTAATGCTTTGCTTCTCAAGAGAACCCTAGTACACTACTATATTGTTTTACTCTTGTTTTTGTTTTTTATTTAGTCATTAAAACAACAGCAGGGTTTATCAAACCGTTGAATTTTTATATTTGTTTAAAATTCTGAATTTTTACAAATATTACTGCAGTAAATTATTTTGTTAATTACAGTACTGTATCTCGTTTAAAAAAAAAGTTTCTCAAATTATCTTCTGTATGCAGGCGATGAGTCACAATAACATGGCTGAAGTATGTTGACCAATCCACACACTAGAAAATGAAGGGACGACGACGTTTCGGTCCGTCCTGCACCATTCTCAAGTCGACGACGAAACATTGTCCCTTCATTTTCTAGTGTGTGGATTGGTCAACATCTTCTGTATGACTTGTAAAGCCTACAAAGTTGTCTATTCAATTGCAAGTTTTGTCAAAATTACAACAGGGCGCAATTCCTTAACTGTAGCCTCTGTTAAACGCAACAGTAAAATGTGTACTTGGATGAAAAAACGATTCTTCGCGGCAGGGGATCGTATTCCAGGGACCTGCCCGAAACGCTACGCGTACTAGTGGCCGTACAAGAATGTAACAACTCTTGTATATATCTCAAAAAAAAAAAAAAAAAAAAAAAAAAAAAAAAAATCAAATGGAAAAATCCTCAACAATATCTACAGGGTATTTTAAATATACAACTTGTACAGTATGCATTTTCCTATGACTTTTTAATTTGATTGTTTCCATAGCAAAAACAAATACAAAATACTGGTTAACAACTCCCTACCTTGAGGTTACCTTGATGTGATTTTGGGGCTCAGCGTCCCCGCGGCCCGGTCGTTGACCAGGCCTCCTCGTTGCTGGACTGGTCAACCAGGCTGTTGGACGCGGCTGCTCGCAGCTTGACGTACAAGTCACAGCCTGGTTGATCAGGACTCCAACATTTCCAGAATATTTTTGGATAGTTACTATGACCTTAAAAAAAAGTACTTTAGATTTGATCAATGTTTTTTCAAGTAAATCTTGCAATGTAGTGTATAATCTAGGCTTCCAAGGCAACAAAAATACATTAAAAATACAGACAAAAATTTATCTGGCTCGTTAAACTGTGGCATTGATAATGGACGACTTGCTGCCATATGGTGAAATTTAATCCTTGAGTAATTGTACGTGGTGTTTGTGTAAGCATCTCTATTACAAAATGTTTGCATGTTATCATAATTATATGCACCTTCACAGACAGTAATGAAGGGTCATGATCTAGTTGAATTTCGGTCTTCCATTGGTACCCGATTACCTCTTGCTCATTTTGGCATGTTACGGAGATGTGGATAGGATTTTCAACTACCTGGAGGACAGACACTGGTGGTAATGCATGTTAAACGTGAAGCTGCCACCGTGGTACCATAGAGGTATCTCGTGTCGGCAGCAAGGATGTCGTGTTTGGAACCTTTCGTGGCTGATGTTCTCTGTTGGTTGATGTATTCTGTACAGTAAACGTTGATCTTGGTGACATGCCACACCTTTAAAAGATAATGGAATAAATTTGGTATCCATATTTTTAGATTGATTGTAAAGTATGAATATAGTGCAACTAGCTAGTGTGTAATTGTTTCCTCTTTATATAACTACAGTATATTCATTGCATATTTAGAATTGTTTGGATTTCCTTACTGTTTCTTGTGGAGACATTATTTTTAGAACTTCTCCCGAATGTTCTTTATTGGGTCTACCCCCCCCAAGTTTATATATTTTGCTTGTGTTGACGTTTACAAGTTCACTCTCATATCTTTCATGAGACATTTACAAATGATCTTATCCGGTGTATAGACTAAGGTGTACAGAAAAGATGACGGAGTATTGTACCTTCCAGATTCTGCAAAACAAGTAGGGTGGAGGAGGAGCGTGTGAGGAGGAGAGTTTAGAGGAGAGTCGTCATTGCCTGAGGTGTCATGTCAGGCTCAAAGTGCTACAAATGCAACCGAATGGGACACTTTGCTAGGGAGTGTCCCATGGGTAGCGGTCCTGGTCCAAGGGGACGTGGTGGTCCCAGGGGTAGGTTTTTTCAAACATAGTTTCAATAGATTTATTATATACCTTTGGCAATTACTCCCAAGCAGCTCAATGAATTTTTCCAAACTTTTCAGAAATGAAGGGCTTGGTATTGGTAGTTAAGCCTACACAAGTTATGATTAGTACTGTAGCTAGAACTTTTCTAATGGTTGGGCAATTGCTATATTTTGTAATTAGCCCAGAGCTGCAGAACCAGTTTCTTGTGAATTTTTGTCATGCTGCTCTATTGCAGCAGTTTAAGGATCTTTTTAAGAACTTGTTGTTTGTAAACAAACATCTTTGCTATTTAATTCCAGTTCAGTTTTTGAATGACTATCAGTTGGTAAAAGTTTTAGGAAATACTTGTAGCTAAAAACCAATAGTGAATGGGTTGGGAAGAGGGTTGGTGATATACCTAATGGTTACACTGTCAGCCATGGGCCTAGCAAGCAAGGATCTTTTTTGAATAATTACTAAAGCTTTTACATTTTCCTAATTGCTTAAATTTGTCTGCGTATAATAAAGTTACACTATGTTGCTTACTTTATTTTGACCTAATTTTACCTATATTAGGCAGATTTAAGGAATAATGCACCTCTTTTGGGTCAGATTACGGTTTGCTTCACATTAAAATTTTCCGCAAAGTTTATTGAATTCTGTAACTCTTAATTCAATTTTTGTTTATTATTTTTTGTTTACATGAACTGTGATGTAAATAAGAGTTGCCTCGTATGGGCCAGTAAGCCTTCTGCAGTTTCCTTGATTCTTGTGTTCAAGTTCTTAGGAATTTGGCTACATCTGCATTTTTTACGAGTTTTCTTGTTCGTGTGCATGAAAGGAAGAGAGATTGAATGATGCACAAGATATTGCAAGTACAAAAGGCCGAGTGAAAATGGTTTGTAGGAAGTGACTCTCAAGTCATGCCTGGCCTCGGGCCGGGCTTGGGGGAGTAGACGAACTCCCAGAACCCCATCAAGCAGGAATGGGTTTATATACTGTTTATTACATTTGACAAGGAGCACTGTGGTACACGTGGTGTTGAGAAACTGTGGGAGTGCTGCTGGAGTAGGATAGTGTTACTCCTGCTTTGATACTATCCAGTATAGTGTGAATATAATGAATAGCCGAGAGATTTTCATCTTTTAATGTCTCTGACTTTCACTACATATTTTCACCAGGCTAGTGCCTCCCCAACCCATGAAAATGAGAGATGAAATGAACAAATCCACAAGGGCCGTGACGAGGATTCGAACCTGCGTCCAGGAGCATCCCAGACAAGGGACGCAGGTTCGAATCCTCTTCACGGCCCTTGTGGATTTGTTCATTTGATGCATCACATTAGTGTGATCTCTGTGTGAAGATGAGATGAAATATTAAAATGATTAAAATTGTCTATTAAAATAGTTTGTATTCTAAGCTGTGTTTATTTTCTAAAACTAAATTGAAAAGGTGATTGTGAACCCAGTCAAAAAAAAGTTGTATCTCATACATAGATGCCGTACTTTTTAAAAAGTGGTAGAGCAGAGAAAGTCCATTTTTTTTTATGCTCTGCTTTGCAGCCTTGCCTACAAAGCAGACTGCAGTGACATGCACAATAGCTAAAAATAATAATTTGCTAACCTTCTGGGCTGGCAATTTTCTCTTGCTGTATTATAATACCCAAATTTATACTTGGGGAAAAATGTGTTAGATAAGCCTTCAACATTGTGTAACTTGAATTTTTTATTTCATGTTATTAGCTAAACTGTTTTTTTTGTTAATTGTCAATATCATCACTTGGGGTTGATAAAGATCTTCTCCAATTAATTACATGCCTTAAATTTTGAAGCCAGCCAGCACTACCCTTTGATTCATGCCTGCCAAAGGTGTACAAGCCAATCTGTCATTGAATTCATGTGATCACCACCAATAGCTGCCTCGGACAAGTACTATAAACTGAACAAATCCACAAGGGCCGTGACGAGGATTCGAACCTGCGTCCGAGAGCATCCCAGACGCTGCCTTAATCGACCGAGATCAAGTCAATTAAGGAGCGTCTGGGATGCTCTCGGACGCAGGTTCGAATCCTCGTCACGGCCCTTGTGGATTTGTTCTTTTGATGCATCACGCAATTGTGATTTCTGTGTGTACTATAAACTGTTGCATAATCACTAGTCAAATTGTTTACAGTATTTGACAATTTTGAATCCCCCTTAGTATTTTGTCATAGAACCTTTGTTGCCAGAGCTTGCTAGTTGGCAGTTCACTCCAAGATTTGTATTTTTTCAAACTGTCTTGTCCCAGTACCAAACTTGTCTGCCAGTCTCCTTTCTTCTCAGGAATGATCATCTCGACAAGCACACGGCGAAACTACGACGTTGCTACAACATTCAAACAAGGTTTAACGCCTTCTAACAATTGTAACAACCAATATAGCAAGTTATAACAACATTCTAATAGGTGTTAAAAATTTTGTAACAAGATGTGACAACTTTATTACAAGTTGTAATAAAGGAATCTTTAGGGACTGTTACGTTGTGTGTGTGCACGGATTATATTTAAATTGTATTTTGTTGATAAATTGCTTCCCCACTCTTCCTCCTCTCTACTTCCCATAGTGGGTTTAGCCTGGCTGGTCTTGCTACTAGATGATGTTTTCTATCAAATGAAAAATATCCAAAGAAATATTGAGTAAAATCCTCGGGTAATAACTGGTCATACTTGGTAGTACACGGCACGTGATTGGGAGATGTACAGTTTTGGAAGTAGTCGGACATCCACAACAATATCACTTAGTCTTGTACAATTAATATTACACTACAATACAGTAAAACCTTTTATAAACTAAATGTCTTTGAGCTGTGCAATTTCATTTGTTCCTTAATGTCCTGGATGCGGATTTGCGAAGCAGTTACGCAAGCACTTCGAACGTGTACATCTTTGCTCAATCTTTGGCAGCTTTGTTTACAATTATTAAACAGTTAATGAGCTGCAAAGCACCAGGAGGCTGTTCATAACAATAACAACAGTTGATTGGCAAGTTTTCACACTTGTAAACTGTTTATTAAATGTAACCAAAGCCATAAAAAATTGAGGAAAGATGTACATGTTCGTAAATGCTTGCGTAACTGCTTCGTGACTCTGGCCCCTGTACATCTTAACTCAATCTTTGGCGGCTTTGTTTATAATTATTAAACAGTTGATGAGCTGCAAAGCACCAGAAGGCTGTTCATAACAATAACAATAACAGTTGATTGGCAAGTTTTCACGCTTGTAAACTGTTTATTAAATGTAACCAAAGCCATCAAAAATTGATGAAAGATGTTCACGTTCGTAAGTGCTTGCGTAACTGGTTTATGAATCCGGGTTCTGCTCTCTTTTTGGCACGTGACATTTCCCAGCCAAGTACCTACGAGTACTGTACTTGATGTCAAAATCAGATGTCAACCGCCAAGACCACCAAGTATTGTTCTACTTGCTAGTCTACCCATCCATTTGAAGTGTTTGGTTGAGGGATAGCCTCATTTCATACAGGGAAGGCCTGAAGAACAGGACGAGTCTCTCGTACACCCACAAGAGTTTAAATCTTGCGCTATACCTAAAAAACATCCGTGATTGTGGTGCGCACCATCGATACAATGACAATGGTTGTGATGTGCAGTTAAAGGATTAAGTACACACTTGCCTGTGAATGTGGGAAAATTTACTGCCTGCCAGCTTTCTCCTCTCTGCCTCAGGGCAAGTAAACTCAGCTAGTGGGAATTATTATTATTTCTTTGCCTACCTTTGTTTGCATCTTCAGCCTTGCTCAAGATGTTTGTGTTGATTCTCTGGGATTTAGATCTTGAGGTTATCTTGATGATTTTGGGGCTTAGCTTCCCCGAGGTCGAGGACTTTTTGTTACCCCCAGGAAGCAGCCCGTAAGCAGCTGTCTAACTCCCAGGTACCTGTTTACTGATAGGTAACAGGGACATCAGGGTGAAAGAAACATTTTGCCCATTTGTCTCCGCCTCCACCGGGATTGAACCCGGAACCTCAGGACTACGAATCCAAAGCACTGTCCACCCAGCTGTCAGGTGCCCCTGATGCTGACACACATGTTGTTTACAGGTGTGCAATTTTGGGCCTGTCGCCTGGAGTCTGCTTGGATACTACTCCTGCTCTATTCTTCCTTTCCGTGGAGATGATGATCCAGCAAGTTGTGCTGTTTTGGCTAATGTTGACCCCCTTCATCCTAAAGGAGAGGGATCCCAGACTAGGATTGTTGAGGCTCCTGGGTGGGTTAAAGGTTCTAGGAATCCTTCTTGTGCAAGTGGTGTTAACAGCTAGCAAGATCTGACCTAACCTACGTGCTGAAATTATTACATGTAATTTGGTATTCCCAGAAAGTATATTTTGCAATTTCAGATTATTTAAATAAATACTTTTCAGCTTGTGCTTATTGGAAGGTGGTATTGGGATTGAACCTCCGTCTGGGAACAAACCCCGACATGTGCGTATAATAGTAGCGAGATCCATATTTCAGTTTCGCGGAGAAAGTGTTTATATAGAGTTGTCAGAGCCCAAGTGTACCAGCCTGGCTGTTGTCATGCATGACACTTATTTTGACTGTAGCTGGACTCTTGGAAGAATATGACAACTCTTGATGACTTTGGGGAAATACAGTACAACAGTATTCAAAGAACTTTAAAATCACCCCACTATTTACCTTTATTTATATACAAATGTAGACAAATGCACACTGTAAGCTTATATGAAATACAAGATTGTACTGCTGGCACCTGGTTACACTATAATCATTCTTTCCTTTTCTTACTATTTACACTATATAGTATATGCAATTTCTCTGCATATTTAACCTTAGGTTACAAGGTTAAATAACCTTGTAACCTTGTAATAACCTTAGGTTAAATATCTATCATACAATATGATCATTTACCACTAACGAGCAGTGTAAACTTCTTGTAGTACTGTACCTCGTAAGTGCGATTCAACGGGAATCCTATTTTGGACCACTCATGTTGCACCAAATCATCTTGTCACTTGTAACACAGTCAAAGATAACATTCACAACAATATCTAATGAAACATTCGTCTAGGACCATAATATCCTCCAGCCTGACGAGCACATGACACTTAGCTTCGTCTTGTCATAACAGACGTTTTCTCGGGAGTAAACTGATCCATGGAATGCGAGTCGAGACTGGCTGCCTTGAACGACCTGGGTACACGTTGCCGCGGTCCTGTGGAAATGGCATCTTATTGATGGTCACAACTATCTGCACTTGTTGTAAATAGCAGTCCGAGCATGGCCAAAACAATACCCGAATTACTCTCGGCGTTGTTTCCATGTCTGCAAAAGTTTAACATGTGATACCATGGCGTGACAAATTACCACTCGATGTGATAACGTCTTGTAAGAGTGGGCAGTGCTCTTGCTATGTCGGATGTGATAACGTCTTGTAAGAGTGGGCAGTGCTCTTGCTATGTCGGATGTGATAACGTCTTGTAAGAGTGGGCAGTGCTCTTGCTATGTCGGATGTGATAACGTCTTGTAAGAGTGGGCAGTGCTCTTGCTATGTCGGATGTGATAACGTCTTGTAAGAGTGGGCAGTGCTCTTGCTATGTCGGATGTGATAACGTCTTGTAAGAGTGGGCAGTGCTCTTGCTATGTCGGATGTGATAACGTCTTGTAAGAGTGGGCAGTGCTCTTGCTATGTCGGATGTGATAACGTCTTGTAAGAGTGGGCAGTGCTCTTGCTATGTCGGATGTGATAACGTCTTGTAAGAGTGGGCAGTGCTCTTGCTATGTCGGATGTGATAACGTCTTGTAAGAGTGGGCAGTGCTCTTGCTATGTCGGATGTGATAACGTCTTGTAAGAGTGGGCAGTGCTCTTGCTATGTCGTATGTGATAACGTCTTGTAAGAGTGGGCAGTGCTCTTGCTATGTCGGATGTGATAACGTCTTGTAAGAGTGGGCAGTGCTCTTGCTATGTCGGATGTGATAACGTCTTGTAAGAGTGGGCAGTGCTCTTGCTATGTCGGATGTGATAACGTCTTGTAAGAGTGGGCAGTGCTCTTGCTATGTCGGATGTGATAACGTCTTGTAAGAGTGGGCAGTGCTCTTGCTATGTCGGATGTGATAACGTCTTGTAAGAGTGGGCAGTGCTCTTGCTATGTCGGATGTGATAACGTCTTGTAAGAGTGGGCAGTGCTCTTGCTATGTCGGATGTGATAACGTCTTGTAAGAGTGGGCAGTGCTCTTGCTATGTCGGATGTGATAACGTCTTGTAAGAGTGGGCAGTGCTCTTGCTATGTCGGATGTGATAACGTCTTGTAAGAGTGGGCAGTGCTCTTGCTATGTCGGATGTGATAACGTCTTGTAAGAGTGGGCAGTGCTCTTGCTATGTCGGATGTGATAACGTCTTGTAAGAGTGGGCAGTGCTCTTGCTATGTCGGATGTGATAACGTCTTGTAAGAGTGGGCAGTGCTCTTGCTATGTCGGATGTGATAACGTCTTGTAAGAGTGGGCAGTGCTCTTGCTATGTCGGATGTGATAACGTCTTGTAAGAGTGGGCAGTGCTCTTGCTATGTCGGATGTGATAACGTCTTGTAAGAGTGGGCAGTGCTCTTGCTATGTCGGATGTGATAACGTCTTGTAAGAGTGGGCAGTGCTCTTGCTATGTCGGATGTGATAACGTCTTGTAAGAGTGGGCAGTGCTCTTGCTATGTCGGATGTGATAACGTCTTGTAAGAGTGGGCAGTGCTCTTGCTATGTCGGATGTGATAACGTCTTGTAAGAGTGGGCAGTGCTCTTGCTATGTCGGATGTGATAACGTCTTGTAAGAGTGGGCAGTGCTCTTGCTATGTCGGATGTGATAACGTCTTGTAAGAGTGGGCAGTGCTCTTGCTATGTCGGATGTGATAACGTCTTGTAAGAGTGGGCAGTGCTCTTGCTATGTCGGATGTGATAACGTCTTGTAAGAGTGGGCAGTGCTCTTGCTATGTCGGATGTGATAACGTCTTGTAAGAGTGGGCAGTGCTCTTGCTATGTCGGATGTGATAACGTCTTGTAAGAGTGGGCAGTGCTCTTGCTATGTCGGATGTGATAACGTCTTGTAAGAGTGGGCAGTGCTCTTGCTATGTCGGATGTGATAACGTCTTGTAAGAGTGGGCAGTGCTCTTGCTATGTCGGATGTGATAACGTCTTGTAAGAGTGGGCAGTGCTCTTGCTATGTCGGATGTGATAACGTCTTGTAAGAGTGGGCAGTGCTCTTGCTATGTCGGATGTGATAACGTCTTGTAAGAGTGGGCAGTGCTCTTGCTATGTCGGATGTGATAACGTCTTGTAAGAGTGGGCAGTGCTCTTGCTATGTCGGATGTGATAACGTCTTGTAAGAGTGGGCAGTGCTCTTGCTATGTCGGATGTGATAACGTCTTGTAAGAGTGGGCAGTGCTCTTGCTATGTCGGATGTGATAACGTCTTGTAAGAGTGGGCAGTGCTCTTGCTATGTCGGATGTGATAACGTCTTGTAAGAGTGGGCAGTGCTCTTGCTATGTCGGATGTGATAACGTCTTGTAAGAGTGGGCAGTGCTCTTGCTATGTCGGATGTGATAACGTCTTGTAAGAGTGGGCAGTGCTCTTGCTATGTCGGATGTGATAACGTCTTGTAAGAGTGGGCAGTGCTCTTGCTATGTCGGATGTGATAACGTCTTGTAAGAGTGGGCAGTGCTCTTGCTATGTCGGATGTGATAACGTCTTGTAAGAGTGGGCAGTGCTCTTGCTATGTCGGATGTGATAACGTCTTGTAAGAGTGGGCAGTGCTCTTGCTATGTCGGATGTGATAACGTCTTGTAAGAGTGGGCAGTGCTCTTGCTATGTCGGATGTGATAACGTCTTGTAAGAGTGGGCAGTGCTCTTGCTATGTCGGATGTGATAACGTCTTGTAAGAGTGGGCAGTGCTCTTGCTATGTCGGATGTGATAACGTCTTGTAAGAGTGGGCAGTGCTCTTGCTATGTCGGATGTGATAACGTCTTGTAAGAGTGGGCAGTGCTCTTGCTATGTCGGATGTGATAACGTCTTGTAAGAGTGGGCAGTGCTCTTGCTATGTCGTATGTGATAACGTCTTGTAAGAGTGGGCAGTGCTCTTGCTATGTCGGATGTGATAACGTCTTGTAAGAGTGGGCAGTGCTCTTGCTATGTCGGATGTGATAACGTCTTGTAAGAGTGGGCAGTGCTCTTGCTATGTCGGATGTGATAACGTCTTGTAAGAGTGGGCAGTGCTCTTGCTATGTCGTATGTGATAACGTCTTGTAAGAGTGGGCAGTGCTCTTGCTATGTCGGATGTGATAACGTCTTGTAAGAGTGGGCAGTGCTCTTGCTATGTCGGATGTGATAACGTCTTGTAAGAGTGGGCAGTGCTCTTGCTATGTCGGATGTGATAACGTCTTGTAAGAGTGGGCAGTGCTCTTGCTATGTCGGATGTGATAACGTCTTGTAAGAGTGGGCAGTGCTCTTGCTATGTCGGATGTGATAACGTCTTGTAAGAGTGGGCAGTGCTCTTGCTATGTCGGATGTGATAACGTCTTGTAAGAGTGGGCAGTGCTCTTGCTATGTCGGATGTGATAACGTCTTGTAAGAGTGGGCAGTGCTCTTGCTATGTCGGATGTGATAACGTCTTGTAAGAGTGGGCAGTGCTCTTGCTATGTCGGATGTGATAACGTCTTGTAAGAGTGGGCAGTGCTCTTGCTATGTCGGATGTGATAACGTCTTGTAAGAGTGGGCAGTGCTCTTGCTATGTCGGATGTGATAACGTCTTGTAAGAGTGGGCAGTGCTCTTGCTATGTCGGATGTGATAACGTCTTGTAAGAGTGGGCAGTGCTCTTGCTATGTCGTAGAGAACACTTGTTTATGTTTGACTAAAGTACAGTATATGTTGATTCTGGGCAGGTTCTTATTATTAACAATTTTGTTAATGTTGCAATAATAAGCTATTTGATTCAAGTGGGGCAAAATATCTTAAATAGCATACCATTTAAATTTGTAAGAATATTTTCAGCTTTCTAAACCTATAGTAAAGAGGGAATTTTGTCATATTTCTTTATATTTGCAATGAGAGAAATTGGTGTCCTGTTAGGCTGGATTTAAACTGAGGATGAGAATAGATAAGACAGCTAGTGATGTTCGGCAATCCAATTCTTCCTCATGACTGGCTTTCCTTTAACCCATCAGTGTTTCACTCCTGCCACTCAGTTCCTCCTATAACTTTACCCTTTTTATTATGTTCTCCATATCCTCCACAACCACCTCCACATCTTCCCACCCACCTGCCGTCCACCACCTCCCTCTGCCCGCCACCTGCCGTTCCCTCCCTCTGCCCGCCACCTGCCGTTCCCTCCCTCTGCCCGCCACCTGCCGTCCACCACCTCCCTCTGCCCGCCACCTGCCGTTCCCTTCCTCTGCCCGCCGCCTGCCGTTCCCTCCCTCTGCCCGCCGCCTGCCGTTCCCTCCCTCTGCCCGCCACCTGCCGTTCCCTCTCTCTGCCCGCCACCTGCCGTTCCCTCCCTCCCTCCCTCTGCCCGCCACCTGCCGTTCCCCCTCTGTCCGCCATCATCCTTCAACGGTCTTTGAGTGTGTGTTCCAGTTCACGATTCGATATTTCTGAGAGAGCATAATTCACAATGACCACCACCACTTTGTGCATTACCCAGCCAATGAATGCTATGACAGCCTGTGGTCTTGACGCCAGTCTTTCCTCTATTCTCACTAAATGTCCCTGTAATAGTGTATTACACATACGTTGCTTGTGTTCGTATTGAGATGACGGACCTAGGATTATTTTCGTCGTCACACTCGTAAGGTTAAATTTTCTTATTTCACTAATTGCAGTAATTGATGGAACTTTAATATTGGCCACTTTTTTATTTAGGTTAGAGAATGGTCATGATATACCATATTTTCCAGTGGCTAGGGTGCATGATTTCGGTCCACCACAAACTGAATACAGTATACATACTTTGTATATATATATATATATATATATATATATATATATATATATATATATATATATATATATATATATATATATATATATATATATATATATATATATATATATATATGTGCATTTTGTTTAAATGCACAAAATCATGAGTTTTCCCACAACAAAAATGCTAAAACATCACTTTTAATAAATGTATCATTAAACATGTTTTTCTGTGGGGCTTCCCGAAGCTTATCAGGCTGATATGTATGTATTAGACCGTGGCATTGGTAGATGGACTTTTTGCCTACCGGGGACCATGAGCCAGAACCTGGCCCCCTCAGAGAGGCACGAGGAGCAATGGCCTATAGAAACCCCCATGTGTTGTGGTTTTTAGGTTTTCGTTGCCTTTTTGTCCGTTGCTGTTTGCAGAGTCTGCCGTCGGGCAGTTTCTGCAAGTGGCTTCATATAGTTGTCATCCCATGTTGGACTTGTTGGTTCTCCAGTGTGGCCCTGGAAGGGTCATGCCAGGGTTCAGTGTTTCTCTTGTCATAGTGGGCCAGCGGTGCCAGTTCTGAGCCAAAGCTTCCTTTGGAGTCGGCAGTGTCTGGTTGGCTCGGTGGTCTCTCTGCTCGTCGGTCGGCTTCTCATAAGAGGCGTCGGCCCTTTTGTGGGTTGCCCCGTTGACGTGGGTGGGGGTGGGGGGGAGGCTCAGGCTGTTTGCTCACGCCGGGTCCCATGATTGGTGAGTTTTGTGTCGTCTCTTCCAGCCTGTTGTAGCGTTGGGTGGTTCAGGGCTAGCGGGGCAAGCCTCTTCCCCTGCACTCCGTCCGTTTTTTTTGCATTCTTTTTTATGCTCGGCCTGTGAACTGAATGCTGTAGCAGCTGGCACGAGGAGCTGCGTGGACAATTGGCGTGACGGCGTTAGTGACGTTTGCTTGTTTTAGTTTGAAAGTTCTGCCTCCCTGTTCGGTTTTAAGTCGCAGTTTTTACCATGTGGGGTTTTTGTTTCGCCTACCTTTCTGGGTGCCAAACCCCAATCGATGGCAGACATGGAATGCTTCCAAACATATGGGGGGGGGGGTTCCATAGGTCATTGCTCCTCGTGCCTCTCTGAAGGGGGCCAGGTTCTGGCTTGTGGTCCCCGGTAGGCAAGAACTCCATCAACTGATACCATGGTCTAATACATACATGTCAGCCCAGTAAGGTCCGAGGAGCCTCCGGGGCGCTTCTAGGACTCGCCCAGAATTATGCGTTCCATACAGTCAATGCCGTCCCCCCCCCCTCCCTTCTCCCCCCACAAAATATTCTCGTAAATTAGGTGCTTCTTATAAGTCGGAAATACCTGTACAGCAGATGTGCGTGATGGATTAGAAGTTTAATCCTTCATGCACTTTGTGTTCAATTATGCTGTTATATATTTTTTGGTTATAATATTTTTGCAGGTAAAGTGTCATTCCTTGGTTATTAATTCTGAACTTTTGTCACACTTGTGACTTCAGATTTCTACTCCCTAGAGAAGTGCTACAAGTGCAACCGTCCAGGGCACTTTGCTCGTGACTGCAAAGAGGAAGAGGATCATTGCTATCGTTGTGATGGAGTTGGACACATTGCCAAGGACTGCGAGCATTCCTCTGATGAGCGTAAGTCGTTGATTTTGTAATACTGGAATGTCTAGTTTGTTCATGCTTTTATTTGGCAAGCATGTCTCGCATAGTTCTTTTACTATTGTAATTGTCTCGTTAATTTCACACTGTTGTGTGTATCCAATTTATTAAACGACAAATTTAATAATACATAAACAGCTGCACCTTCAAAATCTGGTTTCCACCCTGATCTGGATTTATTAAATTTGTTCATTGTTTTTGCCATTTATCACTATGTATATATACATTTTCTTCAATCAAATGAGTTACTCAAAATTTAAGCTACCCATAGAATTTTGTTTTACCTATGCTCAATTGTTTCTGATGCAACCTTGTTTAGCCCATCCTGAGTCTGTTTATCTGTTACTGAGCATATATTATGCTATATAATATATGCTTCCATATATTAAAGGCTATACCACTCATACACTTGTATGAATGCACTTTAGTGTACTTGTATATAATTAATCTTTATAGCACTCATAATTAGTGATGGAATAATTCCTCTCTGATTTTAATGCGTAACATAGAATGGCATTTTACTCTATAGCCACAAAGTGCAGATGATGAGCCACAATAACATGGCTGAAGAATGTTGACCAAACCACACTACAAGATGACAAGATGATAACGTTTTGGTCCGTTCTGGACCATTATCAAGCCGATTGTGATGCCTTATAGAATCGGCTTGGTAATGGTCCAGGACGGACCAAAACATTGTCTTTTCATCTAATAGTGTGGTTTGTCCACCAAGTGGCTGTAGGTATCATCCCTAAATTCCTATTCTGAAGGCCTAATGTATGAACAAATGGCTCTGCTGCTGAAACCTTTTAGCATGTGGTAAAGTGCAGTACTGTTATAACAACTTTTTGTGTGTGTGTGTGTGTGTATGTACTTGCCTATTTGTGCTTGTGGGGGTTGAGCTCTGGCTCTTTGGTCCTGCCTCTCTACTGTCAATCAACTAGTGTACAGGTTCCTAAGCCTATTGGGCTCTATCATATCTGCACTTGAAACTGTGTATGGAGTCAGCCTCCACCACATCACTTCCTAATGCATTCCATTTGTCAACCACTCTGACACTAAAGTTCTTTCTAATATCTCTGTGGCTCAGTTTCCACCTGTGTCCCCTAGTACGTGTGCCCCTTGTGTTAAATAGCCTGTGTTTATCTACCTTATCAATTCCTCTGAGAATCTTGAATGTGGTGATCATGTCCCCCATAACTCTTGTCTTCCACTGACGTGAGGGTTTAATTCCCGTAGTCTCTCCTCGTAGCTCCTAGTCTCCTCGTGTGTGTGTGTGTGTGTGTATTTGGCCATTGCCAGAAAAGGGTCAAGGGAAATGTGTTCATTCCGTGGCTGTGGGCTTTGCCATAAGGTAATTTTGACATTTTATTTCTAGCGTCATGTTACAACTGCTCCAAGATGGGTCACATAGCTCGTGACTGTCCTGAACCTGAAAGGACTTGCTATGTGTGCAACAAGAGTGGGCACATCTCCCGTCAGTGCACTGAAAACAAGAGCGAGAACCGCAATGCCAAGGTATGTACAGGTCGGATGTAAGCAATTATTTCCCCCCTCCATTAGTACTAGTGTCTTTGTGCAGGCGATGAGTCACAATAACGTGGCTGAAGAATGTTGACCAGACCACACACTAGAAGGTGAAGGGGCGACGATGTTTTGGTCCGTTCTGGACCATTCTCAAGTCGATTGTGATGAGGAAGTAGAGACAGGCAATAAATAGGCAAGAGAGGGGTGAGGAGCAAAGGTGTAGTAGAGAGGATAGTAGGAAAACGAACTGCAGAGGGCCTATTGGCCCATGCGAGGCAGCTCCTATTGTTTACTAGTGTCTTTAAATGTTTCAAATGTGATTTTTTTTGTTCATTGTTCGTAATTTTCAGATGTACATGTGTGTGAAATTCTTGTTAATAGATTAGTGATGGAACAACTTGAGTACTATAGTTGGTGTATCTTGAGATCATCTCGAGATGATTTCGGGGCTTAGTGTCCCTGCGGCCCGGTTCTCGGCCAGGCCTCCACCCCCAGGAAGCAGCTCGTGACAGCTGAATAACTCCCAGGTACCTATTTACTGCTAGGTAACAGGGGCATCAGGGTGAAAGAAACTCTGCCCATTGTTTCTCCCCGGCGCCTGGGATCGAACCCGGGACGACAGGATCACGCGTCCAGTGTTCTGTCTGCTCAGCCACTGGCTTCCTTTTTGTGTATGTGATTAACAAAATATGAATTTGTAAAATCAAAATTGAGAGGCGTCATTAGCATCTCTAATGAGTCTGCCGTATCCTGCTTTTTTTTTTTTTTTTTTTTTTTTTTTTTTTTTTTTTTTTTTTTTTTTTTTTTTCTCATCCTCACTATCAAGTCTGAAAATTTAAATATGTACATTAGTAATGCTTGCGTATAAAGCTTATTGACACTTTTGACAATTTTGGTGATTTTTTTCCACAAGTTACACACAAACGGCTACAGATGTGTTAAAACAATGTTTATGTATATTATGAAATTTGTATATTTTAATTAAAAATATAGAATTTGTGAACATTCCAATAGAAGGATCATTAAAAATAATTGAGAATTTTATTTCACACATTTTCAATGTTGGATGGTACAAAACAATTTAATGTAAAGTAATAATTGAAGAGGATATGTTTTAAACTTGTTTTCCTATTTAGTGAATTTTTGTGAATTTTCAGTGAATTGACATGGTGCCCTTAATTTAAATGGAGTGCATAAAATCCCTAATTCAAAATGTTGGCAAACTGCAGTGTTGACCAAACTACACTAGAAAGTGAAGAGACGATGTTGTGTCGGTCCGTCCTGGACCATTATTAAGTCAAATGATGTCCATTATCATTATCACAATTGACTTGATAATGGTCCAGGACGGACCGAAACGTCGTCGTCTCTTCACTTTCTAGTGTGTGGTTTGGTCAACATTTTTCAGCCACGTTATTGTGACTCCTCGTCTCCAAATTGCAGTGTTATGTCTGTGGCAAGATTGGGCACATCTCGCGTGAATGCCCCGTTGGAGGAGAGCAAGAGAACGAGAAGCGCTGCTACGTGTGTGGTGCAGGCGGGCACATTTCTCGTGATTGTCCTCAAGGCGAGAGTGACACAACTTGCTACAGGTATGGAAGGTTTATTGTCGGCTGATAGCCTACAAGATTATAGTCTTACGCCACCAACTTTAAGATAGCCCTTTCTTTCTATACTGTACTTTGCCCTCACTTTTTCTCCTCGCCCATTCAACCTCCGAGGTTTCAGCGAGTTGTTTTTGTTAGTATTTTGCAAGCCAGGAGGTGGATTTCTTGCCTGTACTAATCTTAGTGCCTGGCTTTAGCATTTGGTTTATAGTTAAGTGGGGTGAAGTGTGTGTGTTATTTCGTATTAAGGTAATGTATATGAGGGACACAATGGAGTTGGCCCCATCTATGGGTTAGCTTTGTTTTGGTCTGTTGATGTTATTTGCTCAAAATATCTATTGTGAAAACATGATTCATGTAGGTTATTAAGTAATGATCACTGGTGAAGTTATGCTCTTGAGGGAATGTCCAACCAAAGTCAAATGGCTACTGGCTGAATGTGTAGCATTATCATTCACTGGTTGTCCATAAAACTTAGGGAAATTTTGAGAACATTGGCCTTGTTCTTGAAGTTACTGATTTGTTAGACTGCTGTCATGACAGGTTTAGCTAGAATGAATGAATTTTCTGGCTGTTCAGGGTTGTATATTCATGTAATTACCTAAGTGTAGTTACGGGATGAGAGCTACGCTCGTGGTGTCCCGTCTTCCCAGCACTCTTTGTCATATAACGCTTTGAAATTACTGACACTTTTGGCCTCCTCCATCTCCTCATTTAACTTGTTCCAACCGTCTACCACTCTGTTTACAAATCATGTGCCATGTGGTGTGGGCAAGCCATTGGACCAAGTTATCACAAGTTGAGCCTGGCCGCAGGCTGGGCTCAGGAAGTAGAACAACTCCTGAAACACACTCCAGGTATGCCTTGTAAGTTGATGAACTGATGTTTAAATTGGTCTTAAAAAATTCTTCAGGTAGGTCAGACTGGATTGAGGAAGAACCATATAAAAGTAGGAAAGTTGAAAACAAAGTTAAGGTAAAATTTGAGAAAATGAAAGTCCCTCTGTATAAAGGACCATCTTGAGGTTGAAGCCGAGGTTGCTTCTTGAGGTTGAAGCAGAGGTTGCTTCTTGAGGTTGAAGCAGAGGTTGCTTCTTGAGGTTGAAGCAGAGGTTGCTTCTTGAGGTTGAAGCAGAGGTTGAAGCTGAGGTTGCTTCTTGAGGTTGAAGCAGAGGTTGCTTCTTGAGGTTGAAGCCGAGGTTGCTTCTTGAGGTTGAAGCAGAGGTTGCTTCTTGAGGTTGAAGCAGAGGTTGCTTCTTGAGGTTGAAGCAGAGGTTGCTTCTTGAGGTTGAAGCAGAGGTTGAAGCCGAGGTTGCTTCTTGAGGTTGAAGCAGAGGTTGCTTCTTGAGGTTGAAGCAGAGGTTGCTTCTTGAGGTTGAAGCAGAGGTTGCTTCTTGAGGTTGAAGCAGAGGTTGCTTCTTGAGGTTGAAGCAGAGGTTGAAGCCGAGGTTGCTTCTTGAGGTTGAAGCAGAGGTTGCTTCTTGAGGTTGAAGCAGAGGTTGCTTCTTGAGGTTGAAGCAGAGGTTGAAGCCGAGGTTGCTTCTTGAGGTTGAAGCAGAGGTTGCTTCTTGAGGTTGAAGCAGAGGTTGCTTCTTGAGGTTGAAGCAGAGGTTGCTTCTTGAGGTTGAAGCAGAGGTTGCTTCTCGAGGTTGAAGCAGAGGTTGCTTCTTGAGGTTGAAGCAGAGGTTGCTTCTTGAGGTTGAAGCAGAGGTTGCTTCTTGAGGTTGAAGCAGAGGTTGCTTCTTGAGGTTGAAGCCGTCCATAATAGTGAGAGTTGCAGTACAGGGGAGCTGTGGTCATTGAAGTAGTTGTGTGGGGTCTACACTGTTTTAGTGGTAATTATATTGCACACGGTGCGGTGGTTGTAACGTTGATGTATAGTCTGAAGACGTGACTTGCTAGTGATCATGCAAGGCCTAGTGAAGTGTGTTGCAACGCCACCTACATGCCATGTTGCATTTCTGAGGTGTATAAATAGCAATCTTTGAATATTTCTTCAGAGTTTGGTTGGCCATAAATATTGAATCTTCATGATTTCATAAATTCACCAGGATTGGTAATGAAACCTTTTTGTTGGTAGTATGCCAATGGACTGGGTCCTGGTGCTTGTATGATAATTGACAGTGAAAATATATTTTGTAGCTGTCCTTTTTAATGGAGGAGCTTGGGTAGGTGATTAAACTTGCTTAACAGACCTGAATATGTGTTGGCCTGGTTGTAGATTTTCTAAACAGCTAGTCCTGCCCATCCAGTTTCATATTGCTATCATGGGTATCTTCTTCATTTTCTTCATAATGTCTTTTGTCTAAAATTGTGTATGTGTATATATATATATATATAAATTGTATATATATATGTCGTACCTAGTAGCCAGAACGCACTTGTCAGCCTACTATGCAAGGCCCGATTTGCCTCGTAAGCCAAGTTTTCATGAATTAATTGTTTTTTGACTACCTAACCTACCTAACCTAACCTAACCTAACTTTTTCGGCTACCTAACCTAACCTAACCTATAAAGATAAGTTAGGTTAGGTTAGGTAGGGTTGGTTAGGTTCGGTCATATATCTACGTTAATTTTAACTCCAATAAAAAAAATTGACCTGATACGTAATGAAATGGGTAGCTTTATCATTTCATAAGAAAAAAATTAGAGAAAATATATTAATTCAGGAAAACTTGGCTTATTAGGCAAATCGGGCCTTGAATAGTAGGCTGAGAAGTGCGTTCTGGCTACTAGGTACGACATATATATATATATATATATATATATATATATATATATAAATTGTTTTTTTTTTCTGCTGGCAGTCTTAGAACTTTCAAAGGTAGGTATTTATTTTATATTTTTGTAAAGTGCATGATAAACCTTTTATCTGTTAGGTAGAAATCAGTAATTCCATATTTGAATGTTGTTATAATGTTAAGGTGTTCATTACTGTTATGGTTACCAGTACAGTACATAGTATGACAGACTCTTGCTAAATCATTAACCCTGGAAAAGACTGCATAAACTGGTGATTGGTTAGTTGAGCATAACATGCAAATAACATAGTTTTGTCACTGGCATACAAAGTACAGTGGAATCTTGGAGTGCGCACACTGAAACTGTCGGAGGTAATCTGCATTTGGATTCAAATACCAGTTGCAACAATTTCCAGTTTGAGGAGGATAGGTGATGGTTGTCTGGTTTTAACACTGATAATTTAAAGAAACGTGGAGGTCAGCAGTGTGTGGCTAGCCCTGTCACCAGCGATTGAGAGAGGTGATATACGTCTGGCCCTGTCACCAGCGATTGAGAGAGGTGATATACGTCTGGCCCTGTCACCAGTGATTGAGAGAGGTGATATACGTCTGGCCCTGTCACCAGTGATTGATAGAAGTGATATATGGCTGGCCTGCTGCTTACAGATGAGGCTCGAGTGTGATGTTGGTTGACCGGTCTTGCCAATTATGATTAAAGGAAAATGTTGTTTCAGCTGGCTGACCTAAGTGCTAATGACTGGTGGAGGAGAGTGGTGGTGGTGGCTGGCTTTGCTGCTAAGGGCTGATGGAGAGTGGAGGTGGTGGTAGTGTGGTGGTGCTGCTGATGACTGGTGGAGGAGAGTGTTGGCAGCTAGTTTGGCTGCTGATGACTGTTGGAGGAGAGTGGTGGTGGTGGTGGCTAGTTTTGCTGCTGACGACTGTTGGAGGAGAGTGGTGGTGGTGGCTAGTTTTGCTGCTGATGACTGTTGGAGGAGAGTGGTGGTGGTGGCTAGTTTTGCTGCTGATGACTGTTGGAGGAGAGTGGTGGTGGTGGCTAGTTTTGCTGCTGATGACTGTTGGAGGAGAGTGGTGGTGGTAATGTTGGCGGCTAGTTTTGCTGCTGACGACTGTTGGAGGAGAGTGGTGGTGGTAGTGGTGGTGGCTAGTTTGGCTGCTGATGACTGTTGGAGGAGAGTGGTGGTGGTGGCTAGTTTTGCTGCTGATGACTGATGGAGGAGAGTGGTGGTGGTGGCTAGTTTTGCTGCTGATGACTGATGGAGGAGAGTGGTGGTGGTGGTGGCTAGTTTTGCTGCTGATGACTGATGGAGGAGAGTGGTGGTGGTGGTGGCTAGTTTTGCTGCTGATGACTGATGGAGGAGAGTGGTGGTGGTGGTGGCTAGTTTTGCTGTTGACGACTGTTGGAGGAGAGTGGTGGTGGTGGTGTTGGCGGCGAGTGGTGGTGGCTAGTTTTGCTGCTGATGACTGATGGAGGAGAGTGGTGGTGGTGGTGGCTAGTTTTGCTGCTGATGACTGATGGAGGAGAGTGGTGGTGGTGGTGTTGGCGGCTAGTTTGGCTGCTGATGACTGATGAAGGAGAGTGGTGGTGGTGGCTAGTTTTGCTGTTGACGACTGTTGGAGGAGAGTGGTGGTGGTGGTGTTGGCGGCTAGTTTGGCTGCTGATGACTGATGAAGGAGAGTGGTGGTGGTGATGGCCAGTTTTGCTACTGACGACTGGTAGAGGAGAGTGGAGGTGTTAGTGGTTGGTCTTGCTGCTGAAGACTGATGGAGGAGTGGTGGTGGTGGTGGTGGCTGTCCTTACTGCTAAGGGCTGATAAAGGAGAATGGTGGTTGGTGGTAGTGGCTGGTCTTGCTGATGACTGGTGGAGAATTGTGGTAGTGGATGGCCTTGCCGCTGACAACTGATGGAGAAGAATTGTGGTCATGTTAAACTTGATAAATGCCTCAAAAGGATACCTAATCAACCAGGCTGTGATTCATATGTCAGGCTGCAAGCAGCTGCGTCCAACAGCCTGGTTGACAAGTCCAGCAACAAGGAGGCTTGGTCAAGGACCGGGCCACAGAGACGTTGAGCCCCAAAATCATCACAAGGTAACTGCAAGGCAAGGTGATAGTACTGGCTGGCCTCGGTGCTGACAACTGATAGAGGAGAGTTGTGGTGTTGGTAGTAGGGAGCCGATTTTGCTACTGGTGACTGTGGAGGCAAATGGTGGCAGCTGGCTGATT